GGTAAGTAAATACTGTTTCACTAGAAATCATTGCAAGGTTGCATTTACCAGTCTTTTATTCTATGACAAGTTCCCAGGAAACATCACTTCCTACATCACATTCAGACTGTCTGCCGAGTTCTTTTCCCATTTAAAAATAAATTAAATAAAAATTAATTAAATAAGGTCATTTTAGAGGCTACTTGCTTTGTTTTCTAAATGCATAGCGCTAACTTCCTAGCAATCTTAGCAAGAATTTTCAGTCACTTGAAACACAGTTCATCTTCTTAAAGGGATACAGAAGCAACTAACGTTCTGTGAAATAATTTTAATGTTTTTTTCCTACAATAAAGACACATGTAGCATCATAGTCACCACGGAAAGAAAGCCTAATAGCTGTTGATTAGCCAACCTATTGCATTTTAGGAGATATGCATTTCCTTTCAAAAATCTACTTTGAAACCTACTTGGACAACACCAAACAGCCCTTATTGGAGGAAGGAAAAAAAGAAAGTAGCGTGGAAGGAAGGAGAAAGAGAAACGAAAGGGTCTTTATGTATGCTCCCTATCGCTAGCCTTCAGGATGCTTTGTGCCGGTGGATGATGCTCCTGAAATTATATATTACCTGTGAAGCACCTTAAACACATCTGTCCTGGTTTCAGCCAGAGTAGAGTTAATTTTCTTCACAGAAGCTAGTGTGAGTCTATGTTTTGGATCTGGGATGAGAAAATGTTGATAACATGCTGATGTTTTGAGTTGTTGCTAAAGTCGTCAAGGACAGTCCAGCTTCTCATGCTGGCCTGCAGCGAGCAGGCTGGGGGTGCACGGGAAGCTGGGAGGGGACACAGCTGGGACAGCTGACCCAGGCTGGCCAAAGAGATATTCCATACCATATGACATCATGCTCAGTATATAAAGCTGGGACGAAGAAGGAGGAAGGGGTGGAGGGACGTTCAGAGTTATGGCATCTGTCTTCCCAAGAAACCGTTACGCCTGATGGAGCCCTGCTTCCCTGGAGAGGGCTGAACACCTGCCTGCCCGTGGGGAGTGGTGAATATTATTACCCATGAAGCACATTAAACACATCCGACTTCAGGTGCTCAGAACTAGTAGAAATATCGTATTTTACCTTACCTTTACCTGGGTAATTTGTACTTACTCCACTTCTGTGTGTTTTGAAACGATATCCAGCAAAATAAAGAGCAGCAGAGAAGTGCATAGCTTATATTAAGCAAACATGTTCCCTTCTTGCAAAAATCTAAAGCTTCTTCCTTTCATTAAGGGTTTGGTTTGTTTAGGGGGCTGGGGGTTAGATTTTTGGGGTTTTTTTAGACACAAGAGATTTGAGGTGTAAGAGCACAACATCTGTAATGCCATGAGTTGCGGTCCACAGTTGATTAAATAGTTTCACAAGAAAACCTCACCGCACAGGAATATGTGATTCATTTGATCAAAACAAAACCATTAAGCTTTACTCACACAAAAATTAACCCATTAAAAGCTTATTTTAAGAATAAAGTTTTATAGAAGATTTGCTTTCTCATAATCATACTCACACAGTCGCTGCAGCTTTGCTTTCACAGAAACTCTCAATTTGTATACTCACATTTCATGATGCAGGAAACTACGCAAAGAAAAATTACGCAAAATAAAGTGATAAAGTTCTTCAGAATCGATGCAGTCATCTCAAGCAGAAGTTGAGCATTGCTCGGTGAAATATTTAAGACAGTTTTTTGTCTGTGCAGCTACCAAATGCAACTTAAAAGCTTTTTCCACAGCAAGTTTAACTGATTAGGTCAAAACCCCTAGCTCTTCACAACCACACACAGAAGACCCCTGCCATTTCAAGGGCTTATTTTCCCAGCCACTAAAGACATTGGCAGTGAAGATGTAATGAATTACCAGCAGCCGTTGCAACGCCACAGAATTCAAGACTGAAGTTATGCCACAAATGTGCCTGAGATGTTTACAAGTTCTAAACTGTAAGTCCTGTTAGAAGACAGGACTCAAAAAAAGACAGAGGCAGGTCTTCAGCTGCCAGATTTACAAGCTTAAGGTGAAAGGAACAATACTTTCATAAACAAAGAGCAAAGTATTTAAAAGAATGCACATACAAATCCAAAGACTGGTTGAGTGTGCCCTGCTTTGACAGCTACGGGAAAGATTGACACACACCCAGTCAGCAGAGCACTCTATGTCAGGCTAGCAAAAGGACAGAATTGTGGACAAAAGAAATGTGCGCTCCCGTTTTAGAGATGAGAGTTCAGGTCTACCACACCCCTTCTACACAGCCCTTGAGAAGAGGGGTTGGGTTTGGATTCATTTTAATTCCCTATTCTTCTAACTTTGGAAAAAACAATAGCTGACAAGAAAACCAACACAAGACAGTATTCAAAGAGGAAGTTCCTGGACAACAAACATGCTCAGACTTAACATAGAGCACTTCGCCTCCTAGTGGTAATAGCAGTTTCTTTTAGCTTCTTGAAGCTTTGGACTACCTCAGAAAGAGAATCTGACACTGACGGACGATGAATCCCTGGAGGTAATTCCCTATTCTTCTAACTTTGGAAAAAACAATAGCTGACAAGAAAACAAACACAAGACAGTATTCAAAGAGTAAGTCCCTGGACAACAAACATGCTCAGATGTAACATAGAGCACTTCTCCTCCTAGTGGTAATAGCAGTTTCTTTTAGCTTCTCGAAGCTTTGGACTACCTCAGAAAGAGAATCTGACACTGACGGACGATAACAAGAAGAATCCCTGGAGTGAGAGGTGTGCATCAAGCTTGATTCTTTCAAAAACAGTGTTTTCAAATGCCTAAATGAAGAAACCGAACCATGGGCTACAAAATTATTTCCTAAATGTTTAAGATACACCTTAGAGAGTCTAATAAAATCAACAGAACTAGTTTTCAATGTTTTACGTTTGTGCTATTTTACTAGGCACCTACCAGAGGTGCCTAAGTCATATCCAGAAGTCAAGTATGTCTTAACAGGAGCTTACAAAAATAAAAACTAGAACTCTGAAGAGCATTTAGTTATGGAATAAATGACATTTTATGAATAAGAAACCTTACCCAGAAAAATTTTTAAGGAAATGTTACGGTTACCAAAGCAGTCCTCATTTAAGATGTTGATGCCTACGGCACATCTGGTGAGAAGACACCTTTCGTAAGGTTAAAGTAATGAAGGAGAGGGAAACCAACTACACCCGTTGTACTCAGAAGAGCACTCAAAGCAGCTCCTCTTCCTCGGCAACTCTAAAAACTAGTTTTTGCTCAAGGAAAACGCTACACAATGAAAAGCTGAAGACACTGTCAATGTGTTCCTTCAAAGCACCCATTCACACCTCACTTACGTACACGCCCTGTTAAAAAGATGGGTAACTGCAATGACTTGCTTTAATCTAACATAGCTATCCCATTGATGCAGAAAGACTACTTGATGGGCTTGTATTAAACGCAAATACTAAGACAGACTGAAAAGCATATTTCTTTAACATAGCTATCCCATTGATGCAGAAAGACTACTTGATGGGCTTGTATTAAAAGCAAATACTAAGACAGACTGAGAAGCATATTTCTTCTGCTGTAAACAAGCAGGCTTAGTCTCACAACGTTTCCAGCAGACCAAAGCTGATGTTTTTGATGCTTCATATTTACAAACTTCTCCAACAGAAGACTTTGTTATGTGTTATTTCAGAGCATTCTTTTTTCTTACAAAGCAATACTGTCCAAAAGCTTTAGAATAAAGACCCAAGAACAAATGTACACATACAGACTCCTATTCCGTATTACCTGTAACTAAAATATGCCTTCCTAAACATTAGGAATCCTTCAGCATATTAGAGCATTAAATCGGCTTAACCCCCATACAGGGGAAAGCTTGTCTTAGCAAAATTAAAAGTAGCTGGAGCAAACTAGAGGCTGCACAAATGCAGTACTGGATCAGCTTAACTGCCTAATAAAACATGTTTTTATCATATTCATTATGGGCAAAATTTGAGATGTGTGGAAAAAAAAGCTAGATGAAAGCTGAAAATCTGATGTGCTCCTTAACGTAACAGCTTTAAACTTTTGATTTACACATTGAACATAAACGAGAACCCATTTACTCATGCTTGCTTGTTTTCTAAACCACCTCACTGTTTCTCCTATTGTTCAAGCCCCTGGGGGGAAAAAAAAAAACATTCAAAATCACAGGACCCCTTGTTTCCTGGCTTAGCCTTATCTTTTGTGCTTACAGTGCGCACAGATTTATCTAGAGCTCAGAGCCTTCTCCTAAATGCAGTCCTCAGGTCATTGGTCATTTGCTAGCCTCAAGACCACTTCTAGATTTGTATCTTCCCTTTGTTACATCAACATTACCAAAGACGCTGACCAGGTAAGGGTTAGCATGGAGTTTGTAAGTATGCCTTGTTTTGGTTTTAG